CAATAACAGGAGGATCACTAGATTAAAGATCACTTAAAACAAACAATTTGCAAAGTAACCATAATGTTATTGGTTCTTTCTTCTTACAGGTCTGGATCTGTATAATACAAATTTTAATTTATAAACCTTAATCTAGCTTGAAACATCAAATAACCGTTTTCTTTCGTTTCCCACTTGTGGCTAAAATGTAAAAATGTGAGAAACAATGATATGGTAGCTTTACTTAAAAAATAGTTACATATGTGCCAGCTATATAAAGATCCATTTCAATCTCCTAAACCGTTTATAATCGTATTTTCATATTTATAATACTATAAAGTACATATGTTTAGAATAATGACTCCATGAATAGATGGATAGAGATAAATAGGTAAAATAATTCAGGGAAAAAATACTGAAGTTCTCTTATACACTAGACATTACGTTAGGCTCTAGGGATACAAAATAAGTAACACACAGTCTTATTCACACAGAGAAAGATATCCCAAAATGTCAGCCTAAGGAATAAGAGGAAAAGGATTATACAGACCACCTCAAGCTTTTGCCTGATGATGGACAGATATTTAAATGATGGATCACCATGCAAAAGAATATCTCTTCCCTCCTGCTACTCCTAGTACCAATATCATTGTGAAATGATTAAATAAATTTGTAGAGCAAGGAGTATAAAGTCAGAGTTGGGAAACAATATTAAGGAGAAGAAACTACAGATGGAATGATTATCCAGAATCTTCTATTGGTTAAAAATATCCACTTAAGATTTCCATTCATATATGTATATTTTTGACATGATAATGCATCAACACAGAGTATGACATTTGGATATTGTTCTTTTTTTTTTTTTTTTCAACGTTTTTATTTATTTTTTTGGGACAGAGAGAGACAGAGCATGAACGGGGGAGGGGCAGAGAGAGAGGGAGACACAGCATCGGAAACAGGCTCCAGGCTCCGAGCCATCAGCCCAGAGCTTGACGCGAGGCTCGAACTCACGGACCGTGAGATCGTGACCTGGCTGAAGTCGGACGCTTAACCGACTGCGCCACCCAGGCGCCCCTGGATATTGTTGTTCTTTAAACACCTTTGAAAATTTAGTAAACCTACTTTTTCTGTTCTCATGGTATAATGTAGAATGTTGACTATTCTAATAAATGCGAGTATCATTATGAGTAAGAGTTCCACTTGTATGCTCTCGTATACATTTAGAGCATTAATACTAGGTAGGTTATTATCAGTAATAGAAATTTTGTTTTCCATGTCTTCATTTTAATTTTAGGTGAGAAGACATTGTGATTTTTCTCTTTTGGTAATGTTAAAGTTACTATGAATTTTGAGGAATAAAAGTAAACCAATGGAGGGAAAATCTTTTCTATGAGCAGATGGCTTTTGGTGTACCAAGGTTTTGCCATTTGTTTTAGTGCTTAAAATAAACATTATTTATAAAACCACTTACATTTTGATGTTACTTAATGAGGAATATGCATCATTGATTTGACTAGCTTAAGAGGTCATTTAGAACTTGCCCGTTAACAAGCTGTAATCTGCTGAGCACACAATGACTTTGTTTAAAATTATCTATTCAGAGCTGATCAATGACAATAATTGTTTTATACCAATCACTTCTGAAAGTTAGTAATTACTTTGAAGGACATGAATACTAGCTTTTCATCTTCTTTTTTTTTTTTTTTTTTGAAGTCATAACCCATTCACCTTGAAATTAAGAAATGTTATGGAAAAACATCTTGCCTACTCAAAGAACTTTTTTTTTTTTTTTTTTAATTAGAAGTTTATTCGCTAGTACTAGGATATCAACAGGAAATTTAGGTAAAATTGAAGATGTCATTTGTTCCTGGAATAGAAAGCGTAGTAGAATCTCCACAGTATTCTATCTTATGTCAGTTAGTGATTGTTAAACTGGGCTCTTTACGATATAGGAAATCGGTGTCTTCTAAATGAAAGAACATGTACGCATACTTTTCCTTTTTATATAGTACATCCATAAGATATTTCAGTGAAAAGAGCCTGGGCTTCTGTGTAAGACAGAGCTGGGTTTACGTCCTGGCTTTGCCATTTATTCTTTTCACTGGTTAGGTGAACTTGATCAAGTTACTTAACCTGAGTTTCTTCAGTTTTAACATGAAGATTATGCCTCACGCGCCAGGTTATCATGAGAATTAGAGCAGTTAACATAAGACCTGGTGCATTCATGAGGTCAATAAATTTTAGATCCTTCGCTTCATGGATGGCAGTGTCTTCACCAGTCAAACACCCAGTTTCAACTTTTACCTACTACCTCTAACAAAGCCACTTAAATATTGATTGACTATTCTTTAATGTGGATGACTTAACCATCTCTTGCTCAGTATTTACTTTAATATCCAATTGTGAGTAAAAGGATTTGTCTTGAAAGAGAATTTTAGTCTGCCTTGGAGTAGAGGTGTAAGGAGTTTGGATATTAGAAAATCCCCTGAGAACACAGCAGCTGTGGACGCTCTGGAAGTATTCGGTACTGTTTCTAGTGTTTGCCTGTTTTGAAGTGGGAAGAAGCCCATGGCATTGGCCTCTTTAGGTGTCCTTCCTATTGGCATGGATTTTTGCTTCAATTTTACTTTCGTCCTTTCAGACTTCTTTTCTCAGAATGGGTAGCCACCACTCTAGTGTGATCTAATCAGAAATCAGCAGCTTTCCTTTTTCCTTCTCAGTGCTCCAGCATGCATCTTTTATGTTTTCTGGCACATTTAATCTTATTTTATTTAGAATTTAATGGTGTTTTCATGTTATAAGTAGTTCCTCCCTTAATACTATTTGATATCCTAATATTTTCCCATTCTTCCTGAGTCACTTCTATTGCTGATGATGGATTTTGTGTCAGTACTTTTGTTTGAAACGGTTCTCTTCTTTAATACAGATATTACTGTACATGCAATAAAAGTATGGTGAAATATTTGAAGCTATCCAACTAGCTATATGACTGTAGGCAATTATTTAACGTAAGAATCAATGTCCTCTTCTATCAAATGAGGCTAATAATAATCTCCACCTCAGAATGATACTGTAATGATTAAATTAGATGAGCCAGGAAAATATTCACTTATTTGCATGTATGATTTATATACTTGTACATATTCCAATTGATTATTCTTTTTAATTAGGAAAGTAGTTTGTATCAATTCCTCATCTTTTGTTGTCAGCTGTGATATAATTTTGGTCAAATTAGAGGGAGATAGTTTCTAAAATTAGTATATAACTTTGGAAAATTGATTTTTCTTATTTCATGAACATCTAAACTAAGATCATTTGAAAAATATTTGGAAGGACACATTTTATAACATTGTTACACTAGCTTGCTATTCTACTTGGTTCTATTTCCTAGAATTATTATCTCTGGTTTCATTGTTCTTAATAAGCTGTTTTGCATGTTTTCGATTATTTTAGTCATTCTCATACTGGGAGGTTGACTAAAGTAGTTCTTCAGAATTTTCAGTTTTCTGTATTTCAGGTTGTAAAATACCCTTTAAATGGCCATGTTTTAAAACACAGAAAAATACAGAATTCAAGTAAAACATTTTTCCCGTTTATTTGTATAGATCCTGCATTCAAATTATAAAAAAATTTAAGCTCAACATATTTAGTTTAAAAAACATAGGCCTGGGGGATAAAGCCCAATGGGCAAATGTAGAATGTCTAAATTAAGCACCCTTTCCTATTAAAAAAAAAACAATGTTTAGAGAAGGTGTATGTTCCTAGTTTAGCTAACTGTGCAAAACATTGGAAGGACTTCATATCCAAAAAGAGAATCACTCATAATATCTGAATAATTCAAAAGTACATGTAAACTGCCATAAAATTTTCAGGAATGGAGTTAAGTAATTTTTTTTACATTTTTTTTTTTTTTTTTTTTTTTTTTTTT